TTAACATAGACTGGAAACACATTTGAGGAGTTGGCAGCGTGCAGTAAGGGTTGAAACCAATAGAACTACAGATGGACATGGGATTACTATAAGTGGGAGAAAATTCAAGGGCAACTGTTACATAATTAATGCACTGAACTGTATCTGGGAAGAAGATGGTTGAAATGGTGAGGGTTCTGTTCCCTCTATATGTAACACACACACACACACACACACACACACACAAATCCATTAGAAGAAGGGGAGAAAAAGTATATTAGTTTTGTTGGTTCGATGGTAGAATTTTCACCTTCCAGGTGAGAGACCGGAATTAGATTATCTGCCAATGTACCTCCTGGATGACCACCACCTGTCTGTCATTGGAGGTTTGTGTGTCGCGGTGATAGACCAGGAAGAAAGGCCTGGTGACCCACTTGATACAAACCCTATAGATCACAACAGTTACACTTTGGGTTGCCAGGAACCAGGGGCAAACGCAACAGCCGTGAACAGCCAATTTGTACCATGCTAGACACAATGATGAAGCAGACAGGCACAATCCCCACCTTCACACTCTGCCCCAGAACAGCGAGCGAGACGACAACAACAGTTGGGCAAGGGCAGGGACAGGTCCTGGAACAGACCCACCTAGCACAGAGTGGTCAGAGGAGGCCTCTTAAAGGGGGTGACATTGAAGCTGAGCCAATAAATCTGAGATGTTCCTGGATTTCCAAAGGCAAGAAAGTGCAGAGGAAACAGCATGGGCTAGAAGGCACTTAGGCAGGAAGGGGAACCAGTGTAAAATCAGTGTAGTGGGGGGCAGTGTGCAAGGGGTGGGAGGAGGAGGGTGTGCTGAGGGAGGAAGGAGTGATGGTGGGGTATAGGCAGGTCATTCTGGGTAAGGGATCCCGGAATACAAGTGCCATGTATTCCAAGTGCCACAGAAAGCCCGGGGAGGTTTGAAATGGGCAGTAAGCTGCCTTGGGATTTCAGACCGGTCTGGCTCTGTGTGGAAACCAGAATGCACCTGGTGAAGAGCAGAAGCTCGGTGACCTGCCAGGGGTCAGGACAGCGAGTGGCAGTGGTGGATGTCTGAAGCTGTGTGCACGCGTGTATGTGTGTGTGTGTGTGTGTGTGTGTTGGGGGGGTGAGGCTAATTGAGTGCAAAGCACTCTTTACTGTCTGTCTTCCCAGCCCTGGTGCTGCAGTGGTTATGCATTGGGCTGTGAGCCGGATGGTCGGCAGTTCGAAACCACAGCAGCTCCTTGGGCAAAAGACTGGGCTTTCTACTCCCGTCAACAGCTACAGTCCCAGAAACCCACAGGCGGTCGCTGTGGGTCAGCATGGACTCGATGGCAGGGAGTTTGGTTTTGGCCTTCCCAGCCACTGCTATGGCGAATGAGTCACCACAGGAATGATTCGCCTTCAGAAAAGCCAGTTGCTGCCTAGTGGACTCTAACTCAAGGTGACCCCTGCGCACTCCCCCTCCCCAGCAGACTGCTGACCGGATTCATGGTCATGGTGCTTCCCCACGCATCAGAATAGGGCTGCCCTCCCAGGCTGCTGCAGTCCTGGATTTCCAGGACTTTCTTCTGAAGTGGCCTCTGGCCTTCTGAGTAGCAAGCAGCCAAGCACACGTGCCCTGTCCACCTGCCAGGACTCCCTTTACCGCCTGGTCCGACCTTGCACTTAAGACAGCATTGCTGGAAGAGCATCATTTCTTCACTTGCAGAGACATAAGTTCTAAAGCTGAAAGGATGAGCACATGCAAGAGAGAGAGAGAGCGAGCGAGTGAGCGAGCGAGCAAGCGAGCTATCCATCCAGGCCGTCCTTCCCAGCTCCATAGCTCTGGCTACTCATGCAAACAAATGCTTCTTCCCCAGCACCCTCAGCCCCAGGAGAGTGCTGGCCCCAATTCTTCCAAGCCCAGAAAAAGCATGGTGACGTCTGTATGCACCTTTTCATTCACAAAGCTCCCTGTAATGGATGGTGAATGCGGTACTGTATTGGGGGTGGGGCTAATAATAAAAGAGTATACGTAGTTCTGTTCTTTGTCTTCACTACCGCTTGAACCCGGTGTTTCTTTTTGTGGTGTGTGCTTGCGGGGCCATGGCTACTTTGGACTGATCAAAGGAGAGCAGGGGCCGCAGGGGCTTAGTGTTCACTACCTAATAGTCAGGGCTGGGCTGGATCCATAGATGCCCAGGGGCTGAAGCCATCTCGCTCATCCTCCTCAGGGCGGGGTTTGTGAGCAGGAGGCCTGACTTCATCGGCCCCACTAATGACTCTGTAGGAATAAATCGTTTAGATTGTTAATGAGGTCTTGAGTTATTTCCCCAGTGAGCCCAGCTTCCCGGCAGCCAGAGACGCACGTGGCTCTGACTGGCTGCCACGCTCGCACTCTCTGCTCACCTTCCGGAACTATTTGTAAGTTGGTTTTCAAAAAAAGCGGGGAAAGGATAGATCTTCTGGTAGTGGCTTTCGCTAGCACCTCTGGGAAATCAAGTGGGTCCCGGTCTGTTCCCGTGAAGCACTGCTGGAGAAAGCGTTGTAAATCCGTCCACAAATGCAATCCATCCACAAATGGGGCCCTCGCGGTGGAAAGGGAGTCACAGGCCATTGGTGATTCCCCCCGCCCCCACTCCAGCTCGTTCCGGGAGTTTTGTTAGGTTTTTCGGGTGGGAAATAGCAGTTCTTGGCTTTGCACGAGAAAGGATGTCACACAGAAGCCTGGTTCGTGACCCACGTGGGTATTAATAAAGGACGGAAGAAGTGTCAGGTTTTCGTCACCGAGCACGGGTACACCCACACATGGCAGCCTGAGCCCAGAGACGCCCTGGCAAAGCCAAGCAGAGAATAAACAGGAGGATCCGCAGTCTCCACGTCTCAGCACTTACGGCGTTTGGTTGGGAGGTGTGGTCAAAGGTATGGGTTGACCCCATCGGCTGAATTAAGCCCACCTGGTCTAGTTTGGGCCCACCCAGGTGTACCGCCCACCTGGCTCGGGCATGAAGTAGCACATGAAGTAGCACATGCCCCTTAGCCTTTATGGCTGCCTGAACCTTGCTTGGTTCTCTTCCCAACCTACTGCAAGGGGAGGCTCCAGGCATGGAGAGGGACATCCCCGTCCCTGTTTCTGACTACCTAAAAGTTTCACCTACATTGGGGAGAACTTCTGAAATGCCGAGGAGTGGGTGACGGACGGCAGATCTGTGCAGGGCTCCGCTTGGCCTGCACTGTATGCCCCAGCGGCAGTCCCCGGTCGTGCAATCC